TTGCCCTGAGGTTTGCCCCATTCAGTTCTCTTCTACTTTCTGCAGATAATTTTGAGGATTTTGAGGAATGCAGAGGTAGGGAGGTTTGTACCTAATGAAAGTAAACCATATTTTGAAATAACGTTGTTATTTTTGACTGGGCTCTACCACTAATAACATTAATTTATAGGGAAGTAGTAGAAAAGTTAAATTTACAGCCTTTGTACTTTAAATGAATGCTTATTGTGGTTTAACCCAGCAGGCAGCTGAACATCGCACAGATGGTCACTGGCTCCTCCCAGCCCCCCCCCAAAAAAAAGTCACATAGGGGAGAGAATCAGAAAAAAAGTAAACCCTGTGGTTTGAGATAAAGACAGTTTAATAAAATAGCAGAGGATGATTATTATTATTATTAGTTGATTCCACATGTACTGAACACCCCTCAAAGCAAACTGTGCCCTGCACTCTGCCACCAAAGGGATTGAGAAAAACACATTAGCGATATCAGTTGTGCCATATGACTCAGCTGCCTTTGACTCCAGTTCATATTAGAGTTCTAGCATGTCCAGCAAGGGAGCACTCAGTGGTGGCATGACTTCATTCAGTCCCCGATAGTCTACTGTTAGTATCTGCTCTCCATTAGACTTTCTCACTGGCCATATGGGACTGTCAAAGGCTGAGTGAGTCTTGCTGATCACTCCTTGTCTGTCCAGTAGACGAATCAGCTTATGGATGGGAATTGGGGAGTCTTGGTGTGGTATTGCCAGTGGTGCACAGTTGTGGTAGCAATCGGCACCTGTTGATTCTTCAACCCTCAGCAACCCCACAACAGAAGGGTCTTTTGAGAGACGAGGCAAGGTAGAAAGCTGCTTAATTTCCTCTGTCTCCAGGGCAGCTATACCAAAAGCCCACCGGTACCCTTTCGGGTCCTCGAAATACCCTCTCCTGAGGTAGTCTGTGCCAAGGATGCACGGAGCCTCTGGGCCAGTCAGAATTGTGGGCTTTTGTCACCCATTCCCAGTTAGGCTCACTTTGGCCTCCATTACAATTAGCCTTTGAGATCCCCCTGTCACTCCAGAAATACAGATGGGTTCTGCCCCTGTATAGCTTGATGGCATTAGAGCACACTGTGCACCAAAGTCCACTAGAGCTTTATACTCCTGTGGGTCTGATGTGCCAGGCCATCGAACCCACACTGTCCAGTAAACCTGGTTGTCCCTTTCCTCCACTTGGCTGAAGGCAGGGCCCCTCTAGTCCTGGCCGTATTATTCATTACTCACTGCTTATGAATGTGAATCAAAAGTCCCTTTATTAGGATTGGAATTAAAATCAACCCTTTTACTCTGTCTGGATAACTGCTTACTGGAAACGGGAGCAGCAATTTTCCTGGAAGACCACCCTTTTGTGATTATTTTTCCTTGCAACTCATGTACCTGTGCCTCTGGGGTTGAGGTAGGTTTTCCATCCCCCTTCCTCATGTTGTCTCTGTGGTCATACATGTAAAACCACAGGATGGCCTGTGGTGTGTATTCACTATATCCTCTCTCTTGAGCAGAGGGACGCTTACTCCTAAGGGCTGAGATGCTGGTCTGTACAGGTGGGGAGTAGGACATATCCTCTTTGAGTTGCTGGAATTGCAGAGACAGTTTTTTGGACAATGTTTCCACAGCTGAGACACAGGCCCATAGGGAAGAAGAGATAATTTCTTTGTATTGTTGACATTGACCAGCCAATTAATCCACCCTTGGTTCCTCTACATCTTTCCATGTCATTACTGTCAACGAATTAGCATATGATGGTGGTGCTCCCTACAAACTTCCATCACATGGTTTATGTGCACCTGACTTCATCTGGACCTTTAGATGCTCATTGTTTAGGGCATCATAAATCACCTCCAGCATGGCTAATTCCCTCAGGTACTGGATACCTCTCTCCATGGGTGACATGTTACATCTTCCTTGAAGGTATATCTTTCTTTCATGCCTGACAAGAGTCGCCTCCAGAGACTGAGGGCTTGTGTCCCTTTTCCATTTGATTTGTCAATGCCCCCTTCCGTAGAGAGGGATCCCAGCTGCTTGGCTTCCCTACCCTCTAGTTCCATGTTCCTCACCCACCTATCCCAGCATTGGAGCAGCTAGGTGACAATGTGCTCGCCTGGATGATGACTGAAATCTTTTTGCATATCTTGCAGATCACTCTGGGATAGCGATTCGGTGGTTACCATCTCATATATGGGTTCTGCCTCTTCCTCTTTGTATCCTCATAATGGCACTTCATCTTAATCTGTTACTAAACGAGCTGATTTTCTTGTGTATTTTTTCTTGTGTATAGGAGCAAATGATAATGGTACGGGTTGGTTCTCTTGTTTAACCACAGTGCTTGCCACAGAGGTTGGAGTAGCTGCAGTGCTTGTCACCAGGGTTGGACGACCCATGATGCATGTCACGGGAGTTGGAGCAGCCATGGGTGTCAGATGGAGTTGCCTTGTTGTCAGATTCAGAGACCTCCTCTTCCCCTTGAGGGTTCTGAATAGTGTTGAACAGGTCTTGGTAGTCATGGGCCAGGCCCCAGCATTTTGCAGTGATTTGTGTCTCTCTGCAGTTGCCAGGGTGACAGCGTACTTCTTCCACATACTTTACTGGTTTTTTAGGACTCTACACTTGTTCAATGGTGAAGTTCCAAAACACTGGAGGTGCCCACTGTCCTAGGTACTTGCCCATATTATTCCACATACCCTGCCACTCACAACTATCCAGCCTTGGGGTAGATCTCTGGATGATATTCTGAAATTGCTTACTAACCTTAGACAAAACTGAAACAATATCCCCAAGAAGTACCAATAGAAGTATCTTAACTACCCAAGGATGTTCAAAATACTGAAAAGTTATTGCAGTGAAGGAGGACACATCATAGAAGAAGGTAATGAAGGTGCCATTCTCTATTTCCTCCATAAAAAACCCTCTCAGATTAAGAGGTATAATTGTTAGTTATTTTCATGAGGTGGTACCCAAAGTACAGTAATGGCTTCAGAATGAACCCCTGTCCTGGTTTCAGCTGGGATAGAGTTAATTTTCTTCACAGTAGCTAGCATAGTGCTGTGTTTTGGATTTAGTACCAGAAGAATGTTGATAACACACTGATGTTTTCAGCTGTTGCCAAGTAATCCTCAGACTACTAAAGGAATTTTTGA